TCAATTTCAAGAAACAAATTCTTTTTTGCAGTTTCGTTAGACTACGTACCATGCTTTCCTAGAACCTTGATTGTGAGAAGAGTCAAAGGTAAAATACGATTAAGAAAACAAAAAAAAAAGAGAAAAAAAAAATCACCGTTAGTTTGCTCCAAAAGTGAGATCGTTGTTCCTTTCCTTGTCAACACTCAATACAATCCTACATTAACTGGAGATAGAAACAGCTACGACATTATCTAGAATTATACCTGGCAATTGGACGGGTTTGACGGGTTGATATTGGGTTTTTATTTAAATGGATTATATCTAATCCGTCCAACTTTAAATCGGGTTAATTTTGAATTGGGTCATATTGGGTCATCTCAAACCCAAGACCCAATATATTAATTAATAGATTTTGATACATAAATTCTTTTAAATATATTTTTTCATACAAAAATTTTTTTTCACATACTAAAACAATTTTGGTCCAAGTTGAATATAGCATGAAAAAATATTATACCAATATTAAACAAGATCCAATCACGCCTTAATTAAATTGAAACTTGATAAGAAAGATACAATTCTCAACCAATTAGTTCAAATATCACTATCCAATTCATTTGAGATTTGTGACTTTTGGGTTCTTTTTATTCATTATTAAATAACCTCACTTTGCACTTTTTACACAATTATTGTGGTTGAATATCAATCTTGTCTTGTGATAAACCTTCATGTCAATGGCCAAAAAAGGGCAAAAAAAAAAAAAAGATGAAGAAGAAAGAAAATTGGACCCATGAATGATCTAATTGACAAATTTTAATTAATAATTGAGCAACTTATGAAAGCAATTAAAAATTTGCCTGCATATTTTGCTAGATTTTTTAGGGACTAGTAAATGCTTAAAAACACGAGTTGCTAATAGAATCTCCCCATCCAAAAGATAACAATGGAAAAAAATATGTATATGTACATTAACATGCAGTTGAACAGTAATCTTCACAATCCTAAAACCAATTAGTAAAGGAACAAGATGTGTATGGACTTGCAAGTTTGCTGTCTTAAAGGGGGAAAAAAAAAAACAGCAAGCCCGATGCAGTTGACAAGAATGTGCCAAAATGCTTAAAGTTCAGAAAACGGTGGTGGATTGAAAATTCCCAGACGAGAGGCCTCCATTGTTTTTTTAAGTTGGATAATGGGTACCCAACTTAATTATTCAAACCGCTCAAAATACATGTGAATTTTTATTACCCGACCCAAAATTAACCCAACACCCAATTTACCTAACCCAGCCTCTTAAATTAGTGGATAGATTGGGTGAGTTGTTGGGTTTTGGGTATAATTGCCACCTCTGTCTAGAATGACCCAGCATCTACATTAGAATAATAAATTATGAATTTAATTTTTATATACACTAACATTATATGTTCTGCCATCGTTATATATATATATATATGATACGTACACAAAATTTGAATTTCAAATTAACTATCGTGCATTCAATTGTCATAATATATTTGATAAAAGATTAATTTATAAGCTATTATTACATAATCATATATATATATATAATAAAGTCGTATTCTCATTCTTATCCCTTCATATTTTCTCTTTCCTACGTAGTTTAACGAGACGGCAAGTAGTTTTCTACGTGGCTTGCTCCTTTTTCGTTTGGATATATATCCATTGTTATTTTCTATAAGAATTCTTAATATTATATGATTCTTATTTCCTACCCAAAAAAAGGAATTGGAAAGTAATGCGATATAAATAAAAGAGACATAAATATTTTTATTAGATATATCTCCAAATTCATGCCAATAATTTGTGTACTGCATAGGGAACCGAAGTAAATAAGAAATGTTATCACTATGAGAAGTAGAAAAGTAACTAATTGCTGAAGTAAATTATTAGATGTTCAAATTTATATTATAAGAATACTTTGTATTACAATGCGTATATAGTAATATACTTAAGAAATGTTATAATAAAATAGACATTAAGTTTGTATTTCATATCAATATTTTTATAAAATTGACTAAATAATTTATTATTTTTTAAAGATTTCCGTTCAACGAGCGGGTACAAAACTAGTTTTAAAATATTTTTCAATTGAAGAGTACGGAATTTGAACCCATAGTGCATGTTAATGGGCATTTTAAATTCCGCATCTCAAATCTTGGGGTTGGACTTGTGGTACAATCCATCCACGTAATTGATCCAATGGAGAGATAACACGTCAGTAAGGAGATCACAACAAGACCATTAGCGGGAAGGTATTGACGGTTGATCCTCTATTTATGACGGCCCGTATCTAAGAATGGCCCTGCGGTCCACCAGGCACCAACTAGGTCTCTCAATTCTGTCTTTTTGAAACCAACAGCCATTTGAGACCCCTTTTTGACCTTGCATCTTTTGTTAGAATTGTTTGAGAGAAATTTATGGTAAAATATGTGAAGACATTTAAGAGTAACTAAAAAAAAACAATAAAAAAAGGAAAATAAAAAGGTAAAAAAGAAAAATATGAAAAAAATCTGATTCTAAGCAATTCTTTCGATTTTCGACTAAATCCAATCAAAAATTGGATTTGATCGAGTTTTTGTTTGACAATTTTTTAGAACAAGCCTGACTGAATGCTTGTCTAGTTTCCAATTCAATCGATTGAACCGGTCAGTCTGATAGTTTGATCCAAGTCTCAAAACACAGTTAGGACTTGGGACGACTAATGCCTTGAGATGATAAAAAAACATCGCAATTGCTTGCATTAAGCGCCACTGCCCTGCTGCTGCTACTATATTTTTATTTAAGGTGAGAAAATAGAAAAGGAGGCCTCAAAGTTATCTTTTAGGTGAAATTTTTTAAACAAGAGGCCTTAGTCCACTTACAATTCCTTTCATCTCACTGCGATAAAAAAACCACTGCGTAAAACCATCCCTCGGCGTCTATCAGTTTTTACCTGATTTTATTGCCATACTAACTTTCTACCAAAGATTAGGTAACATTCAATGGTCCAATAACACTGCCTATTAAACAGGAACCCAAAACACAACCCATGACAGCCAACACGAAGGAGCATAGCAATTGCCAAGTTTCTTGAACTACACCTCACATTTTATATTAGTACCTTGGAGTTTTTCGACTAGGCGACGATTCGCTTGCCAAAGGAAAACATAATAGTTAAAAAAGATGACAGTTCAAAGCCGGAGGATTGGAGATGCATAAAAGCGGAGAGGGCTAATTACCATTTGGATTCGCTTGAACATAACGTCTGTTTCAGAAGACTTTTTCCCGGATATTCCTTGTTTGCTGGACGAGCAAGGCAAGGAGGTTTCTTAAGTTTCGGCGTCATTTATAGACGAAATCAATTTCAGTGCCTGGAGATTTTAAGGTATGCGCTACGCACAGGACAGCCTCCAATGGCATATGGGAGAGGCTCGAAAAGAAATGTGTCAAGGAGGGGTGTCAAAGGGGCCAACGCTATTACGCTAGAATCTCTCACCGGGTTGGTCCAAATGTACTGGAGCCAAAGAGGTTGGAGACTAAGGTTCCATTTGATAAAACTGAATTTAAATTCTGAAGTCTACATTCTGAAATCTAAATATTAAAACAATTAATTTGTTGAATTTTAATTACTGAAAAAAATATATGAATGTCTGAATTTTAATGCTAAATCTATTTATACTGTTTGATAAATATTTATAACTGAATGTTTAATAAGTTTAATTTGACAATTTTGCCCTTATATCTTTTCGTTCAAAAAAGAAATAGAACCTATGATTTAATTAGCTAAAAATGTTAGGTATGAAAATGACAATATTTATTTTTAAATCAAATTAATATAAAAAATAAATTTTATTATATGAGTAGTATGGAGAAGAAGTGAAAGTCATTCAAAAGGGAGGAAAAGAGAAATAGAAAATCATTGATAGAGAATATTAGGTTGTTTAATTATATTAGAATTTTGAACATAATTAATAAACAAGGGTAGATTTTGTAGATAAGATAAGATAGTTGAAGTAATTCTATTGGTTCTTATCAAAATTAAGCATTCAGTTAGGATTTTTGTGCTAAAAAAATACACACAAGTTCAGCACTACTTAACAATGTCAGCAAATGGATTTTCATTTATCAAACACTCAAAACATCTGAATATTTGAAAAAGTTCACATTCAGCATTTTTTTATGTTATCAAACGTACCCTAACACTTCTTAGCCAACGGAAATTGGAATACCACTGTACAGACTACACAGATTCGCATTTTGTTAAGCTGCTAGTGTATTATATTCTGTTAAATCATCACTCCTTGTCACCTGTAATTTGTTTAATGGAAAAATGCACGTTCTTTCTGCTCAACCTCCTTGTAATTTTGTTCATGGTCAGTTGCTGTTGGATCCGGATTCTCGCCTGCAACTGCAGAGAATGGGGAATGAGTCTCGAGTCTACCAGCCAGGCAGACTAAACGTACCCATAAACAAAACAAGACCCACCATCACCCATAACATTTCAAATTGAACTAACTGGTGAAATTGACCGGAAAAGCGCCCGAGTTAGAATTTTTTAACTTTGACATTTCTTAAGTAAACGTTGACCTTAAAAACTCATTTCGATTGAATTATGCTTGTAGCCATACTTCCACATGGATAACTACAATTGGTGGCTGTAGAGGACGCCGAAACTTGTAACTTGCAAACGACTGCGAATTTATTTATATCCTATACTAATAATTATGCATCCCTTACAACCGCTGAGTGGTGTTATGGCTCTCATCTTCTTCTGTCAGTGCATTTGTACTCTGAAACCCAGCAGGGTCAGCTAAATGACAACATATAATCAAAACACGATTTAAAATTTTTCCACCCTTGCCAAATGAACACTCTTGACAGAAGCATTTGGCGTCTTAAGATAGATCTTCTTTGATGAAGGGTTTGATTGAAGGCGCCCAGATTGGACAGAGCTTGTGGACAAAACGCTACTTGAAATAATTAGTTGTAATTTGTAAATGTGTTCGACTAAGAGTGCGAGCTGTGCAAAAATGCTATGCGAATTTTCCTCGCACGTTATATCTAATATAAAGAATTGGGATGCTGAAGAATTATGAACGCATAACTCAGACGGCACCATCTGACACAATAGAGTACCACATAAACTAAGATGAATTACATTGCTAATGGCAAAATACCTCGACTCAAACGATATACCAATGAAAAAATGCACAAATTGCACACCAGGTTCGTATTCCTAGATCTCAGACCACATATACTTCTGAAGATCAAGATACCATCATCAAATGAAGAATCATAAAAGAACTCAGCAACCCTTCTTGCAACTCCAAGCAGATGAATTACGCAACAATAGCAGGGTCCTGCAATCAAGCAAATAGAAAGAGAAGCTTGAATCTTTCCTTCCCATCATCCACAAAGAACTGAACTTGCAAAATGCAACTTAATCCATTTTATCTTATGTTTGTCCAAACCAAGTTTGTGCAGAAGAACATACACATCTTGTGTTTGTGTCTGCATTGACAGAAATCCAGTACCACAAATTCCAGATCTTGCCATAGCTTAATCTGTTGGCTATTAGCCTTTTTAAGAAAGTGGAGGGTAGATAAATGCTTAACAAAATTTTGGATAAACCCAAGTGGGCTTGAAATAGCTTCCCAAATCCTTTCTGGAAAATTTTGTAACAGCATTCTTGTTAGCTTTAGCTTATATGAACTTCACCCTTTAGCATCCGTCATCCTATTTAGACCCAAGAATTTTAAAAATAGAAGCACCAAAAGTACAGATAGAAATTGCACATACACGGCAGGTGGGAGGGGGTGGTGGGCGGATGGGGAAGTGGTAATATTCTGGAAGTTTTTTCATGGCAATTTTTAAGAATCTTCAGCTTTAAAGCTTCTCCCTCTCTCCAGGATTTCACATTAGACATTCTGCAGCCTTACAAATCACACAAGGCATAATGAGTAACGAGGAAGAAACTACATGCACCTTTGCAGTCAAATTTGACAGTGCAACGTTCCACTTCTCTCTAGTTTTTGTACCAGCAACTTGCCCCGCCCTTGCTACTTTGCTGAAGGCACCATTCAGCCAAGTCGTTCCAGCTGTAACATACCTGATCACCTCAAAAAGAGTCAACTACAAATTTTCCTACCTGTGATTATGGAATAATACAAATAGCATAAAATGGCAGCTGAAGTTGATATCTTTGCACCAATTATAATCACAGCAGCCAATTTCAGCAAGTACAATAACCAGCACGCTTAATGGAACAAGAGTGCAATAGCCACCCAAGGGCCAAAAGAATGTGGAAATATTGTTAAATAAGTCTAACACACATGAAATGCACCAAGTGCATGGTAATTCCTTTGAAACAGAACAGAGAAACCATTCAAAATAGGAATTTTGTTACCTGCTTGACTTGACAGCTGATCCTGTGTTATTTAGTTTTCTCTCTGCTGCCAATATTGCTGCCATTGTTTTATCAGAAACCTGCAGCCTCTGGTCCACAGATTTAACTTTCTCATTCACCACAGAAATTCCAACTGTGAATTTTTCGGATAACCCAACTCTCTTGTCAAAGGAAGCAACTCTTGCAGATGCATTGGCTCTTAACTTGTGTTTCTCATCAAATGCCCTGGCCTTATTTAGAGCATCCTGTCCTATTGCTGAACCCTTTGCAAGCACACTTGAGACAACATCTTGTGCTCTATTAACATACACTTTTCCACTCCTAGGAGAGCTATTTTTGGTCTGCCATGAGACAGATAATCCAGAGTTAAGAAGTCAACAGTCATGAATCAAAATTTGTACAACCATATTTTCTATCATCTCCTCCAAAGAAGGACTGCAGTTATATTATCCGAGGCAGCACTTGTTATTATGATTTTAAGCCATCACGAGCTAGCGACCAAGCATCATAAAACATTTAATAGATTCTTCACTGCAGTAATCCACAAAATACTTTAAAAGGCACAGATTCACAATCAGACACCCATTTTAACCTATAGATATCATGTTGAAGATGTATATATCTCACAGAATATCAACTATGATTTGAATAAACACCCAGCATTTTATCTCAATCTTTCCTACTCCTCTTCTGAGTACAATAATTCTTCCGAGTGCCAGAAACATATGTAACTTTGTCAAACAAAAGATGCTTGAAATGAATTATAGTTAGCCAAAAAGGTCTGAGTCATTATTACCTCAGCAACAGGTGACGTATTGTCCTGAGACATGTCCACAGCATTCTCAACTATTCTTACTTCCTGAATGCAGTGATGTCAATATTAGCTCAAAGACTAATTAGGATGAAACAAATTCAGATATGAAGATAGGTCTACCCTGATGTCATATTGTGGTACATAGTTTTCTGCAGGAGTTATTGTAACTATCCGGTCAACAATTGTTGCTCCCTGCAATGCAAACAATTCCCAGGCTTTTCAGTCACAAAAATTTTAACGACTTTCCAAAAACTATTCTAACAAGTTTGATATTATGATGCACATGATATTAATGAACCAGACATAAAAAAAGTTACGAGTCATGTGTTCAAGAAGCAATCATGCAATTCAGGACACAAGTATATTAGACCTCGAGACCATAAATGATCACAGAATAAGCTCCCCCCAACCAACCCCCAACCCTCCCCAAAACAACCAGGCCATCTTCAGCAATATGTGTCTGAGCACCTTTTAAGACATTGTCTGGTGCAATAATTACTGTTTTAACTTTCTGTTTCAATTTCTTTCTTATAAGCTAAAGCCCTTTTAAGTGTATTAGAGTTCATTCATCCACGAATGCGTAAATTCTGGTATGGTGATAGCAGTTGTTGCCATTAAATACTGCTCACCTTAAAATGATGTTCTAAAAATTCAATAAGGAAAACATAAGTTGTCAAATACACAAGTGCAAGCCTTAACACACGGTTAGTTGCGACTGGGCACGACCAACCAAGAGTGGGCCATTGAGATCGCATGCATAGCCTGTCTATGATTCCACACCCTTCAGACCATTAACTAGAGGGTATTAGTAGAAAATGAACTTTGCAGTGAAGTACCTATATTGACTTCCAACACATAAGATAGATGACCTAGACAACGTGAAAAGGTAGCCAATTTTCTAGAATTGAAGTGTTTACAAGTTAGAAACTAAAATGTAACAATCGCAAAAAGTGAAGTGGTCTATATAACTTACTTTTGCTGCCAATAAAACCTTTTCAACATCTGGCTCAAATTCAACCAAGACAACACGCTTTTTCTTTTGCAAATGTTAAACATGTTACAGACATTGGTCAAAGAAAAAAAAACATGCGTCTGAACTAGAAAAAGCATCTTGAGGTAAATGCCAAACAAAAGGAAAAAAAAAAAAGAAGAAGAGCCACATTGTCCTAAACTTAATAATCGCAAAATCCTCCAATGATACTGGGCATGTTACTAATACTCTTGCGAAGCATCTTATGAATAATTTCCAACTTTTCCAAAAAAATGGTCCCAAAAGCAATAAGGCTCTTACGAGAATTGACCCTTAATAAATCAACATGCTGTATAAAGATAAATTAGCAGAAAAAAGTAACGGAACAACTATAAAGAAAAAAAAAAAACTTGAGGATGAGAAAGGAGCTAGTAGTTTATACAGATAATAATAAAGCGATTTCGAGCGCTTTTGGGTCCTTGAAGGTAACAAAGGCTATCCTGGACTGCGGCGGGTCACGGCGGATCTCAATGTGTTCAATTTCACCCGAAAAGGAGAAGAACTCGTGAATTTCTCTCTCTCTCGCTAGATCTGATAATTGCTCTACTTGTACTGTTCTTGCCGCCTGCTTCAAAAATAGTTCACCATTCTTAAATTCGAAAAATCAGAAAATATTCCAGGAACAAGAACAATAATCGAAGAAACCTCACCTGCATTGTACCCGCTATGTCTCCCAATTATATATGTTTATACAGGAATGTGACTTTCTTATATTCCCTGTTTGGGAGGGGGAAGAAGGAGAATGGAGAGGTGGGGGGAGAGGTCAAGTTTTAGAAAGGGGGAGGAGAAGGAGAACGTGCTGCTGCTTAATTGCTGATGCTGATGCGTGAGAGAGAGGGAAAGCGTCCCCAAAGAGAGAAATTAGTCGCGGTAGAAATAGAGAAGTAAAATTTGATTACTGTTGGACTGGTATTAGCTCTACTAATTAATATTAAAGAATTAGGTTAAGCTGATAGATAAAAGGGAGAGCGAGAGATAATCATGACATTATTCTTCTTCATACTGCTTTCTCCATAAATTTCGGTTTTGTCGTTGATACACAACACGCTTTTTTGGTTGCTTATTGGAGTTGATGAAGAAGATTCTTTCCCATGTATGTTCCTGTAGCTTAGCGAGTGAGAATAATCTAATGTACAAGACGACAACTCCGTGGAAGAGAATTTTGCGCTTTAAAATACTCGATTGAAATGACAAAACAAAAAAAACTATGGGGGCAGAGAAAGTAGACAAGTATGTGTAGATGCTATGCTGCTGGCATTTATCTCCTGAAAAACAAAAACCTTGGGGAGAACTGCTAAAGGGGTTTTGTATTGTACGTACAAATATTTAAAGCCCATAGTCCCATCTTTCTGGTTCTTGCACTCATAAAACAGGTCTCCGACCCTCCCGGAGATGCAAAATGCTACTACTAGTTAGTATAAAATCAGCTATAAAAAGTAAAAATTTGTGGACCATATTATGTGTAGTCATTATTGACTGTAATTGGATGAATTAACAGCTTCATTTTGCTTCTTTGAACTTTAATTTGAATTTTGCATTGTTAAAAAGGAGACTAAGGATTAAAAGTTCTTGAGACCAATAGTGGTTGAATCAAATAGCAAGGAACTTGATATTCCTTAAACAAGCTTTTAAGGGTTCGAGTTCTGTGGATGGAAATAGTAATGCAAGAGACTCACTCTTTGAGGCGAATCCGACAATGTTTGACTCTAAATTAGTTGAATCTCAATACAATCATCGAATACTTGGGAGTTTATAGCCAAAAAAAAAAAACACGGAGAGTTTACGAGGCCAGACCAATGGGATAGTCATGCTATTTTGCTCTCGCAAATTTTCTTTTAGCTAAAAATATAATCATTGTGAATGATCTTCTTGCAGGATTTTCGTTAAGATTGAAATGTTCATTCATTCATTTCCAAACGCGACATGGACTGAAATTAAGCTATAATAATGATATGAATTTGTTTGAATAGTTGCTTATTTACAAAAATTTATTTATTTATATTTTTTAATTATTATTTTATTTCACGTACGTCACACCATTAAAAAAAGGGAAAAAAAAACAAGATGCAGGCAGCTGCCGTGGCAGGGCAATCCGGTTCAAAAGCCCAAAGCGGGATTATTTTTCTCGGTCAATGTGTGGCTGCTTTCTCTGGCATTGTTTATACATATATGTATGTATATGGAGTATTCTTTGTCAAGGTTGGAGTGCGTACAAGACGACCTTAGTTGGACTTTGGGCACCTTTCTGTTCCCTGCTGCCGCTGCCCCCGTGCATGAGTTGGCACTTTTTGTTTACCCAAACTTTAGCACTTTTCGCCTGCGTTGAACTGTTGATAATTTTGACTAATGACACCATTAATCAGGCCAAAACACATTACTACACATGCTAATATACATGACGATTCCATGCCTCCCCGAGAGAATTGAGATGGGCCCAAAACTTGGAAAAGGTCGCGCATGGTTATTTTGATCAGGCTGCTCTTCTCTTGTCGGTAGTCATATGTCCCTGTTTTTCTTTTGTCTTTTAGCATAATGGTGCTCTGGTATTACTGAAGAGATTTTTCACTTCAATGGATATGCAACTGACCAGTTAAAAAAAAAAAAATTCTGACGATGTCCCAGTGATTTAAACACACGATTACTGAAGAGACAAGGAGTCACCTGTTCTCGACGTTGAATTATGTAGGGTTAATGAAGATAACAAGCCATGTTTCATCGTACTTTCTTTGTTTTTGGCTGCCGTAAAAGGTATTCCGGCGTCCGATCCGGCAAAAATTTCCTGCGAGTCAAGAGAAAAGGTCTTGTCCTTCCGAACACGGTAGACCCGGAACTCAAAACATGACTATCCGACCCAAGGGGGTAGTGGGCGGCCAGGCGAGTTACCCGGGAACGGCTGGTTCATCGTACTTTCACTCTCAATGCTTCAAAGCAGGACTGTAGCTTTTGGGGAACATTTTATATCCGTTGACAGTTGCAAAAAACTTACTTAAGAAATACACACGATGACTACTTGGAGCGAGCTATACCTCGAGTTTCAAGTTTCAACAGAGCCCTCGCAATCATTCTGATCCTCTGAGAAAGTATGCAGCCTCTGGTGCATTCTGTTCTGCCAACTGCCAAGTCTGACATGTCGACAAGACAATAGTTTGACTAGTTATTCATCAAAAAGATATTTAAAATTCTATTTCAATATAGATTAAGAGATTAAATTTTTTTACCTACATTTTAAAATCTAATTTTCTTGAAAATAGGCATGTGTCCGGACCGGTGATCCGTTCGGACTGATGATGATTCAGATCTTTTCGAATTTCTTTTTTTTTTTTTTTTGGATCTCTTCGGGTACCTCCCTCCTTTGTACAAAGTAAATGTAGGTTTATCCTATTAGCAAAAAAAAAAAAAAAAAAGTACAGGGCAATACTTTGACATGACAACCATTGAGCTTGACTCAGTGGTCACCATGGAAGGTGGTCATTAAATCCTTCCTTGGATTGTAAATAAGGATTCAAAATTCACCTGCAGCGGAAAAAATTCAAAAATGATGCCAAAGCACCCCTTTGATCTACTTCCCCACATCCTTTACCAAGCCCTCCCAAGGAAAATCACAGCGCAAAAAAGAAGGTAAAAAAGTGAAAAGGACCACACTTTTTCCGGTTTGAAATAAACAAAATTAAAGAGTGAATAATTTGAATGACTTCTAACACAATTATTTACGGTCTTCTTCATATATGCTACTGTAATTATCTTCTCTGAAAATATACGGACTAAGAAAATCTCCACTAAGGCTTTGTACGTTTTTGACTTTAATCTTTAGTGAGTAGAAGGATCTATTTAGGGATCCAAAATATTTTTTTTCAAAAGTACTGAAACAGGACTGACATTTGAATTACAATCACCATAGATAATCAAAGTTTATTACTTGAGAAGAGTTAACTAGAATGATAAGATGAAAAGAATTATAAAAAAGATGTTTTGAATTCAAATTCTCCTGCTTTATATATATAATAAAAGGTCTATTACCTTTGCGAAGGAACTATGATGTGCCCAGCTTGTACGGACTTAAGTCGTGGACTTAAGCTATCCTGGAAGCGGGCCTAATCAGAGGGTATGAAATCCGCTTCAGACTAGCTAGTGCAAGAGTAATAATACAATACGTTTTGGATTGGGCCTCCATGCATTTGACAAAGTCTGTCGCAACTCTTTTATTTATTTATTTAAATAATTTCCTTTTTGTTAAATTTAAAAAATAAAAAGGAGAAGGAGATACTTAAATCAAAAACCTTTCATTTCTAACTTATTAACTTTAGTCATTAAACTAAAGCCTTCTCGGCAGTCAGTCACAACCCATCTATCCTTGCTTGAGAGAGAGAGAGAGAAAATTTTCATATATTTGCTTTTTATGGTGTCAGGATTTTTATTTTTTATTTTTTTTGAGGGAGTATCAGGATTGGTTTTGCAAGTCTTGCAGAAGTAATCTCGTCTGTATGGCAGGGGTTACTAGTTACCACTTGCTTGGCGTCGTGGTTTTAAGCATATGGAGTGTGATCCGATTGGATTTAGGCACTCGTGCGGGAGATATCGGATCATGTTCATCGTCAATTGTTAGGAAAATCCGACACCTCTAACTAATGTTGGGTTTGCAAATTAAGGCCCTGTTTTAATTGTTATTTTTAGGAGTTTTTATAAAAAAAAAAATATTATAGCGTCGATGTATATTATAAATAATTAAAAAATGTGTTCATGAAGAATATAATTTTTTTTGACGCAATCCGAACGAAACCTAAATCATTTCTTCTGTTAGGACAACATTTGTGCTAACAAAGATCAATTTGACAATATAGTCAGGGGTATTGAGTACCGATGCTATTGAATCCTCCTGATGAGTTTAGATACATTTGTCAAATGTATCGAATATGTTTAAATATTGTTACATTGGATATTGAATTTATTTTGTCCAAACTTTAGGTACGGGGATGAATTAACAGTCAAAGTTTAAGTACAAATTTTGTATTTTATTCAATACCTAATATAGTGTAACTGTCTATCACCTTTTTTTTTTTTTTTTTTTATTTATGGAGTGAGTATCCGGGCTTTTGGCCCTACTAATCCCACTCCGATTCGGGAGAGGAATCCCCACTCCATTCCGAGCACGGTAGCAAGGGAGCTCAAACCCTGATTGTTCAGGTAAATTTATCATACTCTAAAGAGGAGGAGCTGACCGCTCGAGCTAATCCTCGGGACTAGCGTACCTGTCTATCACATCAAAGCAAAATGGATTCTCAAATGCGCCAAACAAACAAGTGCTAGACTAATGACTTCCAAAGTCATCATCGACTTCCAAAGACACTTTACAACTCAACCCGGTGTCCGTGCAAGCATTTCCTCATAGCACAAACTATCCAAGTCATAAAGTTGCACCGACCTGCAAACAAAACTTAACCCCTTTCCTTTTACTTTCTGGCTTGCTTTTCCACCTCACCAGCACCAACACTACTCCTAAGTCCAGTCCTGTGCCAGTAAAATCATTGGCAAAACAAGCTCAAGAATCTACCTTTTCCCCCTTCATCGCTATCACTTCTGCCATGGTGCTTCCTTTCTTAAGAAAAAAAAGTATTATGGTATCATAAAATATTCCCTTCCCATGTGACTGTACGCTCTGGTCTGAGGCTTATATGTTCAAACTTTTCTGAATCAAAATCAGTACAACTATTTTTTTTCACCAGAGTACATGCACATGTATGTTCCATGGGCATAAAACATGCCAAAAAAAGGGGGGGGGGGACACAGAAAGAGGGAAAGGCGACGGTGGTCTTCAAAAAGTTGGCTAAAGGAGAAATCAGACTGGAGAGCTCAGGCCTCAGAGTCATTGTCCAGTGTCCACTAAGAAGCAATCAAAACTTTCACCACAAAACAAACGTAACTGAGGACGCTTGCAAGGCAGTGCAAACTCGTTAAACATCGCTTTCTTGCTTTATGGCTTTATCTTCCACTCTCACTCACGCCACCACCATCTACTAACCAGGGACACCTTCCCATTCGCCCCACCTCCCAAAAAAAAAAAAAAAGAAAAAAAACTACCATTTTTCTTGACTACTTATTACAAACCCTTTTCTTGATCTCCAAGCATTTTCCTAATATAAATATTCGTATAGTTTTATATGTGCGTTTTATTGTTTTCTTGCAATGTTGTTCGCATAGCGGAAAAAGTTATGGCGTGGTCAAGCTGCAACTGTGAGAGTATCTGTAAGGAGATTCATGATTCTTGGGGACAGCCTGCTCATTTGATTCAACATCTGGCTGGCCTGACTCAACTCGAATGCAGGAAAACTAGGGAGACGTATGTGAAGATTTATGGGGAGGACCCTGCTCAGCTTCTGCTTCAGAGTTCGGAATCCTCTAGCCAAGGAACCGGAGTTTCTCAGAGGACATATGCGGCTTTGTCAATGATGATGGTCAATCCGCATGAACGTGACGCAATTGTGGCTAGAGAGGCATTTGAGCAGAATGATACGGTGAATTACAAGGCTCTGATTGAAATATTTACTTGCCGGAAATCAAGTCATGTTCTTCTCATACAAGCAGCCTATCATGCAAAATATAAGAGGCAATTAGATCAAGACATTATCAGCATCGAACCTTCCCACCCCTATCAAAGGGTACCCCTTTCTATTGCTTTCTAATTTGTAAATTTCGTTGATAATTAGCGATGTGAGGTGGATTCAGAAGCATAACAAGTTTGCGGGAACTTTGTCTGTTTTCCGTGTTTGCAGATTTTGATGGCATTGTCTGCATCACACAAAGCACTCCAAGCTGATGCCAGCCAACACATTGCCAGGTGCGATGCCATGAGGCTTTACCAAGCAGGGGAGGGAAAGCCGGGGGCAGTTGATGAAGCAGTTCTGCTAGAAATTCTCAGTAAAAGGAGCATTCTTCAACTGAGGCTGACATTTTCCGCCTATAAGCACATCTTTGGTCACACTTACACGGCTGTAAGTTTTTCGTTCTTAAGATTTCATAACTTTTACGGTGTACTCTTCTTACACATCCTAGCCGTAATTAATCCAGTAAAACAAAGATTCGAGTTATAGGTGCTTGAGTTGGTTTTTGTGCAGTTTAGTTTTCGGTTTTCCTTGACAATTTTTCAGTCCCTCAAGAATGAAAAATCAGGAGAATTCGAAGATGCCCTGAGAGTGGTGGTGACATGCATATGCAACCCGCCAAAATATTATGCAGAGGTAATTGTTTTCTCCACCTTGATACTTTGGACTGTGCCATGGTATGATTTCCCTTTACGGCCACATGTGCAGCCTGCCAAGGCCATGATTTGTTCAAGTGACAGCGAAAAGAGGGCCAATGAGCAAGTGAAGCAGATGAATGAACAAAAGTGAAAGAGTTGTAAAAAATTTGTTGGCCCCATCTTATTATGAGATCTATCCAGAAATTGGGAAAGTACAAGATAATAATGGTTTTTCTTTTCCATTACACTAGTACATATATTTGTTGCATCACATGCTTAATTTGTTGCAGACATTGTATGCATGCATAAAAGGGACAGCAACAGATAAAGGAGCTTTGGTCCGAGTTATCATGAGCAGAGCAGAGGTGGACATGAATGAAATACAAAAGGTTTTCAAGAAGAAGTATGGGGTAGAACTTATGATTGCTATGAGCGAAAGTCTTCCATCTGGGGATTATGGAGAGTTAGTTCTTGCACTTGCAACAAAGACATGTAGAGTACCTGATGGCTCCGTCTAAAACAGTTCATTTATGTTGCCCGGCAGGCATAGTATTTCTAGTAGCGATATCAAGTCTTAACAAGCAGCACTGTTTGGGATCTAATTAATCCATTAGTTGTAGCTAATACTAGACTAGTATGTTGCAGTAACTTGGTTAACTTATCTGTTTCGGGAGCTGATATTAGCAATTTCACGAAGAGGATGTTCATTCAGAATCTGTCTCAGCAGGAATTAGTGCCCACGTTCTTGAGTTCTGATAAATTATTATTATTGGCAGCCGTCTCATTTTTCTTCTTCTGTTTTAGGGCACATACTTGATTAGCTGCAACAATTACTTCAACTTTCATAATGATTCATTAATGACTCGTATAATCATGCGCTGACAAATGTTGATTTTAATGCGTGAATTGAAAAAAAAAAAAAACACAATCCAGCCAAATGTTCTCTAGCACAATATTGGAAAAAAAAAACCTCTGACACAGAAAGGTATCGATGGTATCATAAATCGGACAAGGTATATTACGTAATGACTGAAAGAAGATATCAGCACAAGATTTGCCAAAGGCATAAGCAAGTCATAGCCCTCCAAAGCCAAGAAGGAATAATTCCCTTGTGTTGCAGGAAACCCTGAAGGAACCTCTTTGGACACCCTTCGTCTAAGGCCTAATCTTCTTCCATATATATATATATAAAGTACACAGACAGGACCGCCTTCATCTTCATCGCTTAGCAGACAGCAGTTGTAAATTGTGGTTACCAATATTTCTAATAATACGAGTAAAGGACAGCTGATAATGGAAGCCAAAACTGGATCTACTGCCCGCCTTTCTTACGAAGAATTCGAACCTTTCTGTAGATGGCAACGCGAAGAAGCCTGTGACACTCTGCTAGTCCATCTCCCAGGTAGTATTGGAATGACACACAGGTGCCTTATTCTGTTCTACTTCTTCTTCTTCTTCTTTTAAAAAATCTCGGGAATGTGTATCTTGTGATATTCAAGATAATTTCCTATCGGAAATCATGATCTTAAACAAGAACAGACTTTCATATTACTAGTCTGGCATTGAATTTCAATGATTTGGCGAGAAAAGCTATTGATTCCATAATGAACTTAGACGTCATTTCGCTTCTCTCTTTCGTTCCTTGACCTGTTTACCAGACTTCAAAAAAGAACAGCTCAGGGTGCACATCAACAATCGTGGAATCCTGAAAATTTCCGGGGAACGTAAATTGAGTTCAACAAAAGGGAGCAAATTTTACAAGGAAGTTGTGGTTGCTAGGAACTGCAATACCAATGCAATTCAAGCCAAATTTTCGGCCGGCCAGCTGTGCATCAAAATGACTAAAAACGTTAATGCAGCTGCAGTCCCAGAACAGAAAGGTAGCACTCTTGACCCAACCGCAAAACCACAAGCAGGTCCAGAAGAAGGTCAAGCCACGCAACCTCCTCAAAAACCTGGCGAGGAAAAGGATAGCATCATCGTGCCGTCCGGAACTCCCATTGCTACTGCGTCAGGAAAGAGCAACGGGACTGTTACAGAAGGGGAAGAAACAACAGTTTCGAGAGGAAAGCAACTCGCAAATATTGCTTTGAATGTTGGAATGCCGGTGGCTTTGCTGGCTGCTCTCGTGGCTTTCGTTCTATATATGTACAAATCTACCATTGTTGAAGATTAAAAAAAAAAAAAAAAAAAACTCGTCGATGAGATGCTTATTGCTCCTAGATAGTAAGAAATTCGTTATTGCAGTAAATGCTTGAGATTTGTTGCCTACAATGGTAATCCAAAATACTAGCTAGTATCTTACTGTTTGTTCTTTTGCCTTGTGTGCTAATAAAGAAATATTAGTTTGTAATTGTAACGTAATGTACCTTGTTCCTGAGACTTGGCGCAGTGGTGGGTTCCTATTTTCTGAGCTACAATAATTTATTCATTGAATTCTAATTGGAAAAGACAAAAAAAAAAAAAAAATCTAGTAGAAGTTTTGCAGGGTTAGGATCCTGGATTTCTCCCCATCGATCTTTCCTTATATTTATATCTAAATTACTATATATGATTTTATAAAATCACCCAATCGTGTCATTGCTTTTCTTTTGATCTGTACATCAACAACATACTAAAAAAATGACATAGTATTCTTTTGAGAATATTCTGTCTTTCAATTTACACGAAACATTTTAAAGATAAAAATGAATATCAAATTTGTGAACAATTTTATAATGATTAACTAGACTACAAAAACTAGTTAATTTCATACAAAATTTTATGTATATTTATACCAAGTGGTGAAATGTGTTATGAAACAATGTTGATTTTTGAAAATAATTTATTAGGTGCGTAATGGAGAAAAATTGTCTCACCTCATACACACTTTTTTTTACCACGTAATGTTGTATCTCATGCCACATTATGATTGTTTTAAGTGGCAATCCACGTATTTAAAGCATCAATTAAAATTTTTGCTTTGGCATTTATTATGTCATCATTGATGCCTGCCAACGGGTCGGATCTAGACCCGGATCCGGATCGGATCCGTGAAATTATTGCGAGTATGGGTATGAATTTAATTCCGTTTTTCGGATCTGGATCCGGATCCGTTTTGTCAAACAAAAAAACGGGTCGGATACGGAATATAGTATTCCGCCCCGTATTAGACCCAGATCCGGATATAAATGAATTAATAATTTAAAAAATATATATTTATCAATATAATTTGATTAGGGTGATGTATTTGAGTAAAGTCAATTTGATTTCTTTTCTTATTTATTTTTTTCTTTGCATTAGTTAGAAATTAGTTTACAAATATATATTTTTTCTCATTTTTATTAGAAATTATAAATTTTGCTAAATTTGTGCGGGTAGACCCGACCCGGATCCGAGACTCGCCGGATCTGGATCCGGAACATAGAATAAAAGACCCGTCGGATAAACGGGTCGGATCCGGTTCCGATATAGTAATTCGGGTCCGGGTCCGAAATAATGAATCCCGAACTGCACCCGGCCCGTTGACAGCTCTAGAGACAACATATCTACGTTCCGAAATGGACAAGGGGCACGGACGGTTGCACCTGCAACCGTTTCCAGCGATTTTAGTCATTTTCAATAGCGTGTAACTTTAGTACAAAATTTTACGGATCCCATACACAATGTAAAAATTAATACACAACTTGTGATTTGGACCACATAAAATTTTTTGACCAAAATCATAGCCATTACCGTCCCTGCCCCTTGTCCCTACGAAATTATCCTGCCAAATTTTATGACCGTGCTTAGCTGGACGCAAACATATTACTCTAGTAGATTGTTTTGTCCTTCTTAAGCTCTATCGTCCGTGCCGCTTCAAATCCCCGAAATTACCTTCTGTCCCTGCACGCTCGTATGTCTTCACCGATTTTGCTGATGTGTCATGCGTCGTCAGTCGTCACCACCGCATTTTCTACAGCTTCTTCTGATATCTGCTCTGCACTAAAGCTCTCTTTCATCGGCGTTACTCCTGGAAGACTGACCAGGACGACGTCGTACGAATGGCTTCCAAATCTTTGCCACCCCGGCGAACCCTTAAGAAGACCACCTCTTGTGAAAGCGTCCCCTCCAAATGCGCGTCAACCCTTAAACCTTCTCTCTCAGCTTCGCCCCATGACTCCCTTCATTATCCTCCGCTTCTCTCCGCCGGCGCCGCCATTGCCACATCATCCCCGGGATTACATCTAAACGACGCCAACCCGAAACTAGAAAAATCATCGACCTCGGCAAGCTCTCGTTCTAATTTAGATGCGGAACCCCAGGGAGAAGTGTTGGCTATGTCGTCGGCAAAAAAAATTGCTGTCGAAGATAAAGCTCAGGAGAGCAATAGAGCGAATTCAGTCTCTTCGGTGGCCGGGATAAGCAGTTGTAGTAAGGCTGATGAGGAAGGAGGGGTAGTTGGAAGTTGTGGGGATGAAATGAGGGGTGACGCTGGAACTGGAAGAGAAGGGAAAGGTGAAAATGAAGCCTCTGAGGTTGACGTGGCGGCAATGGGAGCTGATGAGGTAAGGAAGGAGGGCGAAAGTAGGACAAGGAAAGTGAAGAAGAAAGTAAGGATTGTGAAGAAGATCGTGAAGAGGAGAGTGCCCAAAAGGGTTGTTAAGGGTGGTGTGGTGAATGAGGAAGTCGGGGGAGTGCAAAATGTCGGCAATTGGAACGAGCGAAATGAAGTTACGGGGTGTGAAAAGCTTGATCCTTTGGCCACTGCTTCTACGGACACAGAAACTTCTAAGCTTGATGAGAATGTTGGATTGGAAGTTGAGAATGAAAACTTGAAAGAAATGCAACTGCAACCAACGAAAAGTATCAAGACTAGTCCTAATATTGAGAAGGAAATCAAACCAATGGATAATGTTGGCAATTCGAGCAAGAATGAGTTGGGAATAACGGAGGTGGAAATGATTGATCTTGGTGAAACTCTCTCTGTGCAGACTGAGACGTATAAAGCTGATGCTTCTGTTGCATCGGAAGTTAAGAGTGAAGACTTGAAAGAAGTTAAAGTGGAAGCAATTGACTGTATCAAGACTAGTCCTTCTTTTAAGAGTAGTGTAAAAGGTGAAGATGAGGAGGAGTTATGCGTTTCTAGTGGCAAACACGTATCAGAAGTTTTGGTTGCTGGCCAAAATGCTGGAAAGGAAAGTCAAGGGATTCAAGGCGAGCTTAAAAATCAGGATGTAAAATTTGTCAAAATGGAAAGTGGAGACTTGGTCGCGGACCTGAACACAGGGTTTGTCAAACAGAGACAGGGAGAGGGAAAAGAGCTGGTTTCGGAACTGGTCGAGAACAATGATGTTGGGTTGAATGGAGGAGTTGCATCAAGTTTGGAAACGGAGGCATTAGGGGGAGAGTGTGGGGAGGTAGTGAAGGAAGTAGTTGAAAACAATGATGTTGGGTTGAATGGAGGAGTTGCATCAAGTTTGGAAACGGAGGCACTAGGGGGTGAGGGTGGGGAGGTAGTGAAGGAAGTAGTTGAAAACAATGATGTTGGGTTGAATGGAGGAGTACCATTGAGCGAGGAAATGGAGGCCTTGGAGCGGAAGAAGAGGCGTAGAACTGAAGTTTTTCTTGGTGGGTTGGACAAGGATACGAGGGAGGAGGATATTAGGAAAGTATTTGAACAGGTTGGTCAGGTTACAGAAGTGAGGCTGGTGATGAATGCTAATACGGGAAAAAACAAGGGCTTTGCTTTCTTACGCTTTGCTTCAGCTGCTGATGCCAAGAAGGCTTTGGAAAAATATTCTGCAATCAAAGTAATCCTAGTTT